AAGACGAACGGGATTATGGTTTGGACATGGATGTTCTGGTATAATCGTATTCACTCGAGGAACGGAATTATGGTTTGGGCATGGATGCCCTGGTATAATCGTACTCACTCCAAGATGAACAGAATTATGGTTTGGGCATGGATGCTCTGGTGATCGCACTCACTGTTCGAACAAGGAAACCCGCTAAAAGTCCGAAAAGTGCACGAAAGCACACGGGCGGCTGTGCACCGCTGTCCAACCACACACCCTCTCGACCTGCTCAGGTCTCTCGAGAATATTCCAGGCATACTTCACGCTTTCTGTGCTCCGTCGGCATTGCAGGTAATCAGAACAGTGCGTGGAAAGAGAAGTAAGTGGCCTTCCATCTAAAACCTGAACCCCTAAAGTATGAAAATGATTGTCTTTTGTGATGTTTTAAGGGTTTTGGGCCATTATCTCAACCACTTTGGGGGTTCGGGTATTGTCCAATTTGTTCAGAATCCTATGTCATCGGCGGACAGGTGGTGCTTTAGCGAGCGATGGCACATTGATTCATTGGCGACTTAGATGTACTTGCCAGTCTTGCAGAAGATGTGATTGGAGCTACTGTACAGGGATTGCTACGTGAAGCATGGAACGACGACGTTCCAATAGCATTGAAATTGCCACTACCAATGGTAAGATAATAGCCCAGAACAGCTTGGCAGGCACCAGCCGCCTGCCGTAAATGGGGGGCACCAATATCGACAAACATACATGCTCTCATCCTTTTATATATAACCCCCCCAATAACACCCTCATGCTTGGAAACTCTCATATTCGAGGTATCAACAGTTCCACATGTCCAGGTCCAGCAGCCTAAATTCTAATCCTAACCCCTAACTTTAAGCCCATCTGCAACCCCAAGACTCATGCCGCAAGCCTGTGAATGTTGAACCCTCAAACCACCCCGAAGCTCCAAAGACGCAAAACCCAACTGAAACCCTCAACCATCCGTCCAAGGACAGTTTATCTATTGATTTTGCCTTTTGCGCTGGTTGAGCTGAACTCCCTGATGCCCCTGGCCGTGATGGTCATAGCTTGGGCCCTACTCTCCATTGAGGACTATCTTTAGGAATTGCTCTGAGGGTTCTCGGTAGCCAATCATGTGGTATATACTTGGGCCCAGCAATGATGATGGTACGGGTTTATTGAGGCTGCATATCTGTATTATATAGATGCTTGGACTCTACCCCGGGGATCTTAGTCTATGAGTAGCACCCGCTTTGGCCTCTAAACGTCTCAAAGCAAGCTACGTTGGGTTTGTTCGACCCCTAGTGCTAAAGTTAGGGTTCAGGTTTGGGGTTTTAGGG